GTAGCAGTAAGCACACGTGGCATTTGATCGTAAAGATACTCGCAAGACCAATGTGAATTTCGTGTACGATGTATCGAAATGATAGTGCCACGTCGCAGTTTCGGCACCACATTTCTTCGGCCAATTTTGCTACATCAACAATACGACGGCCTTCGATGATACAATCGGAGAGATCTTCGTTTTGCACTTTTCGTCGCTTACATGCTATACTCAAATTTTCTTTCCACTTTATTTTTCGTTTCGTAGAAAACTGGCCGTTTTTATCGCGAATACGAGTAGCCGGGGTTGCCATAGTTTCGTGTTGTATACAACACAAGTAAAAATGTGGTTAGCAGTCTTACCAATATCGAAATATTGCAACGTTGCCACGTTTCGGTTGTAATTTCGATGTGATAAAAATTATAATTATTTATACAATTAATGACCAGAAAGTTATTTTTTATCATTATTATGATAATTGAGAAACTTAGGACTATATTGTAACCAGTTTTTTAGATTTTTTATTACAGTCGTTTCGACAAATGTTGAAGTTGGTACCAGCGTGTAAGACACTTCGTTTTTAATTAATTAGCCGTATCTGGGATTAATTACATAGTGTTATTATACATTTCTGGAAACTAGAAGTTGCACGGAACACGGTGATATCAAATATGCATTTATTAATGCGTTAATGAAATTGTTTTTTTCGAGACTCTATTTTGACTCACTGCGATGCTCTAGCTACCTTAATGACAAATTGATTGTTAGATCGTGTAATCGTTGTGAAAAAAAATTGTGATTGAGTTGGACGTTGAAAACCTGCTATCGCATAATACAGAACTTTCTTCTATTTGAGTTTGATTTCGATCATTGGTCTTGTGGTTTTTTTTAGCGTTGATTTTAAGAAAGGTAAAAGAAATATGCCAAGTATAAGCGCCATTTAATCAAGATTTATATAATATAAAAGATAACGCTCGTATTCTGTTTGACAATAACAATAATGTAAATAAGGAGGCCAAGTTTAACGAACTATTCGGTTGACAGTATTGATAGATTTTTTTTCTAATGAATATGGTTATAATTACATCTAAAGATATAGAACTATGATGACAACGGTCTATATCAGGTTAATGGGCCTATATAGAATTGTGTTAGGTTGTTTCAGAAAATTGTTCAAATTATCTCCATAATCAATAGAACAAACGAACAGTTATGGTACCGAAATTTTTTGTATGATATGTAATGTGTAGTACCTTAATTATCTGGTGACCGTTTCTGCTATGATGATTCGTCAGATGATATTATAAATCGCTCTTGACTCTTTCGCGTCTCAAAAAGAAGTGAATCATATTAGAAGGCAGTCGAAAGTTGAGGCATGGTCATTTGATATTGGTATTGTTTATAGGTTAAACGTGATGTAGCGTTTCCGGTGTGATCGAGAGTGACACGTGTGAGAGTTGAGCGAGAATTAAGAAAGCGAGAAGGAGAGAAAGAGGAGCGAAGTGAGAGCGAGAGCGTGTGGAGGTGAGAGCGTGAAGGGAAAGGGACGCAAGGGAGAGGAGGGAGTTAAGGTAAGGGTGAAAAGGGAAGTGAGAGAGGAGAAGTTAGGAGAAAGTGGGAGGATACAGGTTAGAGCGCGGAATAGGAAACACGGAGAGAGGTAGTGAGAGCAGTGGGAACAGCGACGGGCGCGAGCGCCGGAAAGCATAGAGTAGGCGGAACGTAGAGGGGAAACAGGAGAGGGAAAAACGGTAGGCAGGACAGGCCATAGAGTAAGAGTAGAGAAAGAATAGGGAAAGAAAACTAGAAATGGAGGTAAACGAGGAAGAAGTACAGGAGGATAAAATAGAATTAGAAAGAATAAGTAAAATAAAAGGAAAAGGAAGAAGTGGGAGTACAGGAACGCTAGAGGAAATATGGAAACGGAAAAGAATAGAGTTAGATAGTAGTGGAGGGAAAGACATATTTAGAAAGAGTAGGAAAACGATGAGATCTCCGAAGGAAGGGATAGGAGAAGGAGAGAGAAGTATAGAGGAAACGTTGAGAGAGATGATGAAGGAGCTGAGGAGAGAGGTAAGGGAGGATAGTAGAAAAATGATGGAGGAGTTGAAGGAAGAATTTAGAGAGAGAGAGAGGAAGGCAAGAGAAGAAAGAGAGGAAATAATAAAAGAAGGGAGAGAACAAATGAAGAAATGGATGGAGGAGAAGGAAGAGATGAAGAAGCATATAGAAAGGTTAGAGAAGAAAATGGAGGAGATGCAGGCAAGGAAGCAAGGAACGAATGAGAATGGAGGAGAAGCAAATGAGGAGGTGAAGAGGCTAGCGGGGAAGATGAGAGGTATAGAGATAAGAATAGAAAGGGAAGAGAGAGAGAAGAGAAGGAGGAATATAGTAATAAGAGGGATAAGAGGCGGAAAAGAGAAGGTAGAGACAGAGATTAGGAAATTAATGAAAGAGAATGGAGTAAAAGAGGAAGGACTAGAAATCAAGACGATAGAGGATGGAAAGGAAGGAGAAGTAAAATTAGCGGTGGTAAAGATAGGAGATTTGGAGGAGAAGAAGAGATTGATGAGAGAAAGAAGAAAGGAGAAAAAGGAGTGAGAATCGAAGACGATTTAACGTGGAAGCAGAGAAGGATGAAATGGAAAATGGAAGAAGCAGCAAGAAACGAAAGAGAAAATGGCAAAAGAGTGTGGCTGAGATATGGACGGATTCAGATAGAGGGGAAGTGGTGGAGGTGAGATGAGGAGGAAGAAGTAATAAAGGACGGAGAAGGGAGGATATGGAAAGAGAAGGGGGGCGAATAGATGGGGTAAGGGGTGAGAAAGAGGAAGAGAGGAGGAGAGATGAGACAGAGGGGAAGAGGAGAAGAGGAGGGGGGAAGGGATGTAATAGAGGTAAAGGAAGAGAGGAAAGAAAGGGGGGAGTGGAAGTGGAGGGTGGAGAGGAGATAGGAGAGAGAAATAGGAAGGTACAGAGAGGAACAAGGGGGGGGGCAAAAAGAAGGAAATAGAGAAAGGTAAGGGGTGAAAAAGAAAAAGAAAAGCTTAGAGGAGAGGATGGAGAGAACATAAAGATAGCATTTTGGAACGTAGCAGGTTTGAGTAACAAGGATAGAGAATTCTGGAGAGACCTGGAGAAATGGGATGCAATAGTAATGATGGAGACGTGGGTGGAGGAAAAAGGATGGGGAAAGGTGAGAGATAGGCTTCCAGAGGGATTCATATGGAGAATGCAGGCGGCGGTAAAGAAGAATAAGAAAGGAAGGGCAGCAGGAGGAATGATGATAGGTATAAGAAAGGAGGTAACAATAACGGATACGGAGAGAGAGGAAGAGTCAGAGGGAGTCATGATAGGTAAGGTAAAATTGGATAAGAAGATAATTAGAGTGGTAGGAGCATACGTAAATGGAGACATGGAGAGGAAGCTAAGTATACTGGAAGGATGGATGGAGCAAAAGGAAGAGGGAGTAAAAACAATAATAGGGGGAGATTTCAATGCGAGGACAGGAGAGGAAGGGGAAAAGGAAAGTATAGAAGGAACCGATGAGTGGACGTTCAAGAGGTGTTCGAAGGATAAGAAGATAAATAAGGAAGGAAAGAAGCTGATTCAAAGTATAAAGGAAAGAGGATGGTATATTTTAAATGGAGGAGAGAGAGGGGACTTGGAAGGAAACTGGACATACTCAGGAGGAAGAGGCGAATCAGTCATCGATTACGTGATAGTGGAACAAGAAACGGAGGAAGAAATAGAGAGAATGGAAATAGTAGACAAGATAGACTCGGACCACCAGCCAATAGTAGTATGGCTGAAGGGACATAAGAATAAGGAGGCGAGAAGAAAGAGGACAGAAAGAGAGGGAGGAAGAGGAGTATGGGACGAGGAGGGGAGAGAAGCATTTAGAGATAAACTAGGAGAAATAAAAACAGGAGAAGGAAGATTGGACGAGGAAATAGATGGAATGGAAGGAAGAATTAGAGAAGCGATGGAGAAAGTAGAAGGGGAGAGGGAGACGGGAAGAAGAAAAAGGAGAGGATGGTGGGATGAAGAATGCAAGGAAGTGAAAGGGACGGCGAGGAAAGTGTTAAAAGAGTGGCTGAGAGGAAAAGGCGAGAGGCAGAAATACAGAAGAAAAAGGAAGGAATACAAGGAGTTATGTGAGAGGAAAAAGGAAGAAGAGAACAAAAAACTGGAGAAAGAGGCGGAAAAAGTGCACACGGAGGAAATGGTATGGAGGGTGGTGAACAAGGAAAGAAAGAAAAGGAAGAAGATAAACACAGAAATAGAAATGAAGCAATGGGAGGAGTATTTCAAAGCTTTGCTGGGAGGAGTGGAAAACAAAGTGGTATGGGGGGGGGAAAGGGAGGAGAGAAAGGGAGAGGAAGGGGAAATAGAGAGAGAAGAGATAAGAAGAGCAATAAGTAAGGTGAAAGATGGAAAGGCAGCAGGAAAGGACGGAATACCGAACGAAGTATGGAAATATGGAGGAGAAAAGTTAGAAACATGGATTGGGGAGGTATGTAATAGGATATGGAAAGGGGAGGGATGGTCAGAGGGGTGGAAAGAAGAAATGATAGTACCAATAGTAAAAAAAGGGCAAGGAGGTAGGGTAGAAGATTACAGGGGAGTAACGATAATGCCGACGCTATACAAGATATATGCGTCGGTATTAGCGGAAAGGATAAGAGAGGAAATCGAGGAGAAAGGGATACTATCACCAACACAAACAGGTTCAGGAAAGGGATGGGAACAATAGACAGTATATATGTAATGAACTACCTAATCAGTAGACAGATAAAGAAGAAAGGGAGGAAATTAGTAGCATTATTTGTGGACCTAAAGGCGGCATATGATTCAGTGGATAGAGGGATATTGATAGAAGCGATGAGGAAGAAGGGAATAAGGGAGGGAATAATAGAGAGAGTGGAAGAGATAATGAGAGAGACAACGAGTAGGGTAAGAGTAAGAGGAGAAATAGGAAAGGAATTTTGGACAGCAAGAGGACTGAGACAAGGATGCCCATTAAGCGCGGATTTATTTAATATATTATTAGCGGATCTAGAAGAAGAAATGGGAAAGGTTAAATGGGGAGGGATAAGGCTGGGAGAGGAGAAAATATACTCGATTACATATGCGGATGATGTGGTGGTGATAGCAGAGGACGAAGGATGTATGATAGAGAGACTGGAAAGATACATGGATAGTAAAAGGCTGGAATTGAACGTGACAAAGACAAAGATAGTAAGATTTAAAGAAGGAGGAGGAAGGTTGAGTACGGTGGATTGGAGATGGAAGGGAAAGAAGATAGAAGAAGTAAAGGAGGTGAAATATCTAGGGTACGTATTACAAAGGAATGGAGGACAGGAAGCACATATAAGGGAAAGAGTAGCAAAGGCAGCAGCAGTATCAGGACAAGTATGGGGAATAGGAAAGAGAAGATTTGCGAGAAAATGGGAAAGAAGGATAGCGCTATTCGACAAACTAGTATGGACAGTGGCGAGTTATGGAGCGGAAATTTGGGGATGGAGGACGAGGAAGAAAATGGAAAGCCTTCACGAGAGACACTTAAAATGGATTTTAGGGATCGATAGATTGACACCAGGATACATGATAAGAGAGGAGATACAGAGGGAGATGATGAAGAGCAGAGCAGGAAAAAGGGCATGGAAATTCGAGGAAAGACTATTAGAGGGAAGAGGTAGCATATTAGCGCAGAAATGTTTATGGGAAATAAGGGAGAGTGCAAAGGGAGGTAGGGAGATGTCAAGCTGGGAGATAGAGAGGAAACTATTTTTAGAAGAAAAGGGTTTAGATAGTAAGGAATTAGAAGAAGAAAGGGAGGAAAGGAGGATAGAGTACGAAGAAATAGAGAGAAGGGACAAGGAAATGCAGAGAGAAGAAAGATGGAAAAAAATAAGAGAGTCAAAAAGCAACAGATGGTACGGGAGGATAAAAGGAGAGGGGATACCAGGATATTTGAGGAAAGGATGGGGGGAGAGTAGATGGAGGAGGGTGTTAAGATTTAGATTAGGCAATGAAATGAAGGAGGGAAAATATTGGGAGAAGGAGGAAAAGAGAAAATGTAGATTGTGCGAGAATGAGATAGAGTC